TTAGCTGTTACGACTGACACCAGTCACCAATTTTTCGTTTCTGGACGATTGTATGTTTGTTATTTGTGCCACAACCTTTAGTGCAGTAAATGAGAAATGCCCAAAACCAAGCAAATATAAACAGTCATGTTGAAAAAAAGTTATAGAAAATAAAATGTATAAAAATGTGAAATATATTGTTATTATTTAAAATTATTTATTAATGGAAAAAATGGTAACTTTAATTTGTCTATATAAACATACTCAATGTCTTCAGGATCATTAGAAAATCACAGGTAGGTGACTTTGATCAGGGTTGGAGCTAAACTCTGCAGCGCATTGGCCCTCCAGGGCAAGATTTAAGGATCCCTGCTCTACATCCTGCATTTTTCGGACATAGCTGTTATTAAAAGCAGGTCATCTTGTTCTGGGATTACAGCAACTAACTATATTTCAGGTGCATATTTAACCCCATTGCTACCTCCCCTGATGCAGGCACAGGTGAAAGTCATTATGAAAACAGAGTTTAAGTGGTAGAGATTAAATTTAGCACTCAGGAGAGAGTATTATGTTCTTGTATGACTGATTCAACTACTGGTAAATGTCTTTTTCACATTAGGAACACACTCATCTATTAACCTTGGACTGCTTGTTTGTGTGTGTGTACAGAACATTATCATATTATCTCTCATTTTTCATTCAAAGTACTGTCTCTATTCTCATTACCATTTGACTGCAGTCCTCTGCCACAAAAAACAAAACAAAAAAAAAGATAATATAAGGGAACTGCCTGACAGAAGAAAGGTTATTTACGCTTTAAATTCAGTAGCTATTTTTATTGGCAATAACAATTTGCTCCCAGCAACACTTAAGAAAAGTAACACTTACACACTTAAAAAGCAAGATATATTTTCAAAGAAAATTAACTAAGTGCAAAAGAGTCGTCAGCTTTGAGGTGAAGGGAGCTGGTCAGGATCTTGGGGTACACATGAAAATGAGGGTAAAATAAGTCTCTCTCAGCAAACCAAACCCAAAAGTGTCTCCATTTGCATTTGTTTCACAACATTTGTTTAGTATTTCTACTCAAAAAAACAAACAAACAAAGAAAACACTTCAAGTAAGTAAGCAAGTAAGGCCATAAGATTCTCTGAGGATGTGTACAGTATTGCATGTAGTGAAGTTTTCACCTCGGATTCCGATTCCACATCCTCCACAATCTCACAAGCATTCTCATAGGATGGGTAGACTTTGGTCCAGCCACTCTTGGTGCAATTCCTAATTATGAAACCTGTATTAAAATAATGTTGAACATAATGATCAGCATGCAACGTTTTATAGGCTACATTTTGACACATAATTTTGCAAAGAGACTTGTAAAACACCAGATAGCAACAGCTGCTCATTACATTGCCTGTAACAGATACATCTAGTACTTTTCTTTGTAATTAGTCACAAAAATTAAACAGATGTTTCATTTGTACTCAATGTCTTCAGGATCATTAGAAAATCACAGGTAGGTGACTTTGATCAGGGTTGGAGCTAAACTCTGCAGCGCATTGGCCCTCCAGGGCAAGATTTAAGGATCCCTGCTCTACATCCTGCATTTTTCGGACATAGCTGTTATTAAAAGCAGGTCATCTTGTTCTGGGATTACAGCAACTAACTATATTTCAGGTGCATATTTAACCCCATTGCTACCTCCCCTGATGCAGGCACAGGTGAAAGTCATTATGAAAACAGACTTTAAGTGGTAGAGATTAAATTTAGCACTCAGGAGAGAGTATTATGTTCTTGTATGACTGATTCAACTACTGGTAAATGTCTTTTTCACATTAGGAACACACTCATCTATTAACCTTGGACTGCTTGTTTGTGTGTGTGTACAGAACATTATCATATTATCTCTCATTTTTCATTCAAAGTACTGTCTCTATTCTCATTACCATTTGACTGCAGTCCTCTGCCACAAAAAACAAAACAAAAAAAAAGATAATATAAGGGAACTGCCTGACAGAAGAAAGGTTATTTAGCTTTTTCACATTAGGAACACACTCATCTATTAACCTTGGACTGCTTGTTTGTGTGTGTGTACAGAACATTATCATATTATCTCTCATTTTTCATTCAAAGTACTGTCTCTATTCTCATTACCATTTGACTGCAGTCCTCTGCCACAAAAAACAAAACAAAAAAAAAGATAATATAAGGGAACTGCCTGACAGAAGAAAGGTTATTTACGCTTTAAATTCAGTAGCTATTTTTATTGGCAATAACAATTTGCTCCCAGCAACACTTAAGAAAAGTAACACTTACACACTTAAAAAGCAAGATATATTTTCAAAGAAAATTAACTAAGTGCAAAAGAGTCGTCAGCTTTGAGGTGAAGGGAGCTGGTCAGGATCTTGGGGTACACATGAAAATGAGGGTAAAATAAGTCTCTCTCAGCAAACCAAACCCAAAAGTGTCTCCATTTGCATTTGTTTCACAACATTTGTTTAGTATTTCTACTCAAAAAAACAAACAAACAAAGAAAACACTTCAAGTAAGTAAGCAAGTAAGGCCATAAGATTCTCTGAGGATGTGTACAGTATTGCATGGAGTGAAGTTTTCACCTCGGATTCCGATTCCACATCCTCCACAATCTCACAAGCATTCTCATAGGATGGGTAGACTTTGGTCCAGCCACTCTTGGTGCAATTCCTAATTATGAAACCTGTATTAAAATAATGTTGAACATAATGATCAGCATGCAACGTTTTATAGGCTACATTTTGACACATAATTTTGCAAAGAGACTTGTAAAACACCAGATAGCAACAGCTGCTCATTACATTGCCTGTAACAGATACATCTAGTACTTTTCTTTGTAATAAGTCACAAAACTTAAACAGATGTTTCATTTGTTCTAGATTTTATACCACATTGTAAAAAGCTCTATAAAGCTACTGTTTAAGTTCAATAACTTCAAATCTTAGTTACTAGTTACTTTCTGCTACAGTAATGCACAGGTCCTTCCTCTCAGTAACATTTAACGGTAATGGGATTATGTTTTTATTAATCTGCTTATGCTTTTTGTTACATTTCATGAAATATAGATGGTATGTGGATGGAGAGCTCAGATGGATCAAACCAATCAGCTTTTTTTATATATGCTTTTTATAAGTTTTTATATGCTTTCTCCAGCATGGGGCTTACTGTATGTCATACACATCACAGTATAATGAGATTGTGCCCCAGTCAATGATGACAAAGAAATAGACAGACACAGAAAGAGTACGTGAAACTGAAATATGAATCTGAAATTGTGAATCTGAGGAATCTGAATTGTGCTCTTTTTTTCTATGAAACACAAGCTAGAGAGGTTTTCGTTGAAAAGGAAAAACAAGTAACAAAAGATCGAAACATTGATTAATTCAGCAACATAACAAGTGGCTGTCTTTGTAAGTTTGTAAATCTTTGTAAATCATTCACCAAACCGATTCGTTCAAAAATGCTGATTCATTCAGGAACGGAACAATTACTGTGTGTTGCTCAGTACTGTTTCAAATAAAACAAACTGTTTCTCAAGTTATTCAATATTACTTAATATATTGTTCTTAAAATAAGCATCATCACATTCTATTAAAACAGGAGTTGAAGTATTGAGGCCACCTGCCACTCAGGGACACATTAAAACTTGGTCAATTTGATAAATCGGATTCTGCTGAGTCTGTGTACAAGCGGGTTATGTCAGCGTTTACGTTGTAGAAATGCCCAGTCATCCAGGATTCATTTGTTCTGTGAGTACAGTGTCCAATTACAAAGTGGTTACTGAGATAAAGTGAGACTAAGTGTAGGCTCATAGGGTGAGCCCAATGAGGTGATTACTAATAGAGTATGTGAGCATTCATTATTATATATATATATATATATATATATTTTTTATTTAGTTTCATTTCGTTTACTTACTAAAAATAATGACAACTTCAACAAAATAGGCATCATATTTTTTTATGAATAAATAAAAATAAAAAAAACACCAGAAAATGAATAAAACCCACAATCATTTGTGTTCCACACATCAACACTCTCAAAATGCTATTTAAACAAAAAGTTTATTTTAATTTTTTTTCTATGGTGAGTGTTATTTGTTTTTAGATACAAAAAACTGTTTAAACTATAATTTTCTATTAGACAAACATAAAAATACACTTAAATAAATGTCACAGTCATTTCATACAACACAATAAAGTTAAAAATGACAACTTTATTGTCCTCAGCTCTGCCTACCATGAAATCTCATTGGCCCAAAATCCTGCTCTTCATAACTAAAACAACCCATCCAACATATTGGGAATAGTGGTGACTGTCACATCGTACAGCAGTTTTGCATTCAGAATGGTAAAATTGCTTAAAATTTCTCATCTTGTGACCGATTAGATCCTCTGACATGTAACATACAGTAGGTTAAGAATTGTAATCTGTAAAATTTGCTACCAATTTCCTGCAGACAACATTTAAAAGCCATCATGAGTGCAACTTTTTTGCTCACATATTAGCAAAACTTTGAGAAATAAAAATAATATCTACTCAACCTGTGAAAACGTCTCAGGTTACTTATGTAACCATGGTTCCCTGAGTAGGGAATGAGACACTGCATCCTCTAGGGGTCGTTATGGGGAATGCCTCGTAGTGACCCGTGTCTGAAGCATACATTTAAAAAACACCAACAGCACGTTGGCTGGCGACTGCCCATGACGTCACTACCGGTGCGACTCTTAGTATAAATAGGCGCAGAGAGAACATGTCATTCACTTCTTCGTCTGAAGCTTGCGTTCGAAGCATGGCAGGAAGCCTAGAGGACGCAGTGTTTCGTTCCCTACTCAGGGAACCATGGTTACATAAGTAACCTGAGACATTCCCTTTCAAGGGAACTTCGAACTGCGTCCTCTAGGGGTCGCTATGGGGAACGGTATACCCACGCCGCCATGCTGAGGGGAATGCGGGCCAGAACCATGGCGAGCACTAAGTACCAACTTTACCATTTTCATGGTGAGTTGCCCCTGGGACGTCAGACGGCTGTCTGTGACTTTATCCCCTATGGCCAAAGACCTAGGCTACATACCCAAACTTACCTGTTAGGGCCAGACTCCTGGGCCCGGGGTAGAGCTCCAGGCTTGGAATCAAAATGGATTCCTTTAAGGGGATACGACCAAGAGCCTAGTATCATAAGTCTTGACCTGTCACACAGGGGCTACCGCTTGCTCTTGCATAAGCTCTAAAAGGAACTGTCTCAACAGACCCCTAGTAGCAACACCCTGTTAAAGTACGTATCCTAGGATACCTAGGTGGAGTGGCGCCCAAGGTGAACAAGCTCTAATCAGCTCAAGAAAGGGCACGAAGCAACCGCGCGAAGCCCTCACCATATAGGATTTTAGAAAAGAACGCAAAGAATTAACGTACGAACTTACCACAATGTGGATTTTAGAAAGTGCACAAAGCCTTCACGTGCACACTTAC